TGGGAGAACTTGCACAATTGGTGGCTGACTAAATACTTTTTTGCCCCACTGTATGATCTTTGATTCCATGTATGAGGGGCAGTAATAGCAGGAGGCTGAAATCAAGCTTTTCTTTCCTTACATTAATCTTCTACATGGTAATGATCCAGATGGCCTTACCTGTTTTTTTATGATACGACTGAAGTGTGTGTGTGTTTGTGTAGATAGATAGATAGAGAGAGAGAGAGAGGGAGGGAGGGAGGGAGGGGGAGAGAGGAGGGAAATGTAGGCCCAGATAGATAGCATCACCTAGCTGAACTTGGCAAATCTCAAAAAGCTAAGCCGGGTCAAACTTGGTTAGTACTTGGATAAGAGACAATTCAAGAATAAACAGAATTACAGGTTGTATTGGTAAGTTTAAAAAAAAAAACTAAAAAAAGGCAGTGGAAAACCACTTCCATATTGTTGCTAAGCAAACTACAAGGGTGTGTTCATACAATCACCAACAGTTCTTAAGTTCAACTTACTAATTTAAAGGAAGGATTACAATAATAATATGGTTGATTTCCCTTTAATAAAGTACCTGAAATCTAAGGGGAGTTATCCTACACAAAAATGTGTTATTTGTCAAATTCTTTAGCACAGCTTGAAACAGTGGAGTGAGTTTAGGTTTAATAAGAACTTAAAACCAAATAAAAAGCAGATCTAAGCCAATAATTGTGAAGCTTGCTGTGATTACTTCAGAATTAAAGAAACAAATACAGATAAATGGTAAAGTGACAGGGAAGATTACAGTATAAAGCACAATAATAATTAGGATGTAAAATCATATAGATGGGCTTAAAGATGTGCAAAACGTTTCAAATCTGAACTAGTTTTAGCTTGAAATGGTCTGTTTGGACCTCACCAGAAGTACTCCAACACTACTCCAACTTTACCAGAAGAATTCTGACCAAAACCACTCTGTTTTAGATCAGAACACTTCCAGTAAGATTGGAATGAGATTGAAATGCTTTCAGTGAAGTTTCAGTAACCCTGAAATGATTCAAATTCAAAATGTTTTGCATACCTCTACTTGCAACACAAAATGGAGTTTACAGAAATGAGTTTATGTTGCTTAGTTAATCTAGGACAGCATTAGGAAAGATCAGAAGTTGAGAATGAATAAGAGGTCATTTGAATATCTGAGAGCTAAAATTATGACTTTGTAGAAAGCTAAAGATGCTGCTGCTGCTTCATTGAAAATGCTGATGAAAAAGAGATGAAAATCATGTGATATATTAAATGTAAACAGGAAATTCAGAAACTGAAAACTATCTCTACTTGCACTTTCACTTAGTGGGTGGGTCCCAGTGGAAGTGTTGCCTGTGCATGCAGACATACTTGCAATCAATCACAGACAGCTTCTGAAGCACCCAAGGGAGCCTTGCAAAAATTATGGCTGCTTTAATGCTTCAAAGAGAGTTTATGTTGTGCTAACCTACTTTGTGAAATACTGTTTTTGCATACTGTGCCCAGTCTTAGATACAGTAAGAGCTGGAGGGGAATCTTCACTGCCTATGGTGCATCTCCTTGTTTACTGAGGACCTCCAGGAAACAAAGCAGGTTAAGAGACACCTAGAGTGATGCTGGTGGAAAACAAGAAGTGAATGTGGCTGGACATGAGCAACAGCCCAGACGAGAGCCTACCCTGTAGCAATAAAAGCAGTGAAATGTAATTATTCCTCAGCCCTTACTGTGCCTGCAGAATGTCAGCCAGCTGCACTTTTCAAAGAGTGCAGAACACTTTGGGGGAAGGATGGGTCAGAAAATCCAATCAGTGTAAGTTGTGATTGCCTGGCTGAGCACTTTGTGGATTATATCACTCACACTTTGAGCCTGTGGATCCCAAGGAAATGGACAAAGACCACTGTGACCTTGGCTCTGCCACTTGGGGATTGGAATCCTGCCCCACTTGGCTACTAAAAGCAGCAAGGGAAGAGCCTAGAAGCCAGATCCAGGCTGTAGTCAACACCTCTTTGAGAGAAGGGAAAATGCTAGAGGTCAGGTCCAGATACAACAAAACTGGAAAATTACTTTCTTATCTCTAGGGAGAGGTAAGGTTATTGAGAAAGGAATGGAGCTGCAGTTTCAGAAGGGCCTAGATGGAGATAGCATGACCACCCTTGTTTCTCCTAGATCTCTCAGAAGCCTTTGATACTGTTGACCACAGTATCCTTCTGGACTACCTACAAGGATTAGGAGTTGGGGGACAGTAGTTCTCCTACCTGAGCAGGCAGATCCAGCTGATGATGGGGGGTTGGTGTGGGAAGAGGTCAGCTCACAGGCATTTTAGTATGGAGTGCCTCAAAGTTAAGTCTTTTTCCCTATCTTATTCAACACCTACATGAAACCCTGGGAGAGGTCATCTGATGGTTCAGGGTCAGGTATTATCAATGTGAAGATGATACCAGTTATACATCTCTATCCCAGGCCTACTGGAAATACGATGGAAGTCATGGGCCAATGTCTGGAAGCTTTCAGAGTTTAGATGGAGAAAAACAGATTCAGATTCAACCCAAACAATAGAGAGTGGCTGAAGATTTGGAGGTCAGGCTAGCAATCTGGTGACCTTCTTGGACTTCTGACTCTTTACTTGGTGGAAAGAGTTGGAGAGTTTTTGCACAGCTTTTTCTGGTGTGGCAGCTATGGCCTTATGTGGAACAGAATGCACTGAAGATGGTCGTTCATGCCCCTATCATCTCTTGATTAAATTATTGCAACTCACTCTACATAGGGTTCCCTTTGAAGACTACCTGAAAACTTCAGCTAGTCCAGAAAACAATAGCATGTATACTTAGTAGTCAAGGATGCTTTGACTCATAGGAAAATAAAAGGAGATAGCTAAAAAATTGCAAGAGATATTGGAAGGAGACTATTCTAGAAGAGTATTTACCTGAAAGTTCTTAAAAGCATGCAAAAAAATGTTGAGGAGGAAGAGGAGATAAGGATTAAATGGGGTAGAGTAGAAGGCAACTATTATGTGGAGGCCACACTTAGTTTTCTTCAAAACAATACTGTATTCTGGGTGTGTGGTGACATCATGACCATAACAGAACAACCAGAACCAAAATTTTTATTTGCCTTTATGAGCAGTCAGTGTTTGGTGGGACTTAAATTGTACCATGTGGTACATTCTGCCCCTTCCCCCTGCCCCTCTTTCCTATGGGGGAAAACATTAATGTTTGGGTTTTTTAGTTAAAGGGATATATTGGCTTAAGACTCTCATTGTCCTAACACACTTATTTTGCCCCTTAACCTTACTCAGATATGGACCACAAAGTTGATTAAGTGGAGGCATTCTGAGAGGCTTGGGAGTTGGCAAAAGGGGTGCTGGGGTCTATATATAGCCTGTAGCTCATGCTACTTATATACTAGTTCCTTTATTCTCCCTTCACAGCAAATAAAAGACACTAAGAATGTTATTTTTTTCAGTTACTTAACATTACTCAAGATCAATACTATTTTGTTCCTCTATTAATGTTTTTTCCTTTTTCACAAAAGTTAGAACAATTTACAAAAAGCAACTGCATATAAGCACATCTCTTTCTTTTAAGATTTGACAGACTTCTGTACTGTCAGAATCTTAGAGTCTGTCTCTTTTTCTATTTTATTCCTAGGTATAGCCCCTTGTCAAGAAGAACTCTAGAGAACTATTTAATGAAAATATTTTAAAACAGTTCTTTGTCAAAAGTCTAGACATCATACTAGTGGGAATCAAAGAAGACTTAAAAGGGAAATCATTACTTAAAGTCAATTTTCATTTACCGTATTTAATTTACTTATAGTTTAAAGCTATAACTAACAGCATGGATTTTTGTGTGCTCATGTGTATATTTAATATGTTTATGTGATGTTTAATATAAGACCTGCTTTGGATATTTTAATGTGTTTAGTGCTTCTGGCATTTTTTTCTTCAGCAGACTTCACTGTATTTCATTTTCAGTTAATAAAGGAATATATGGAATCTTTTTGTTTGATTCTGGTTTTGCTTTTAATTTTATTGTTTGGTCTCTACAGAATATATTGCTAAATGAATTTCCCAAAGGATCCTAACTAAAATGAGCAACACCAAAACTCTGAGTCAAACTACTTTTCTAAATTAATACCATTTTAAAAACATGTTAGGTATTTGTTTGATTTTTATTTCACTTTTCATTTAGGAGTTCATAGCACACTCATTCTATTTTAATACTGCTGCATTAGCATGAAAGATGTCACAACAATGTTTTTTACTTCAACGTTTCCCTTTTTAATATTGTTTATATAGGTACATTATATTTTCCACATCCAGTATCAAGATTATCTAATGCTCACACTGAACGACTACGGTAACAACTGTATCTGATAAGCAAAATTCCCTATAAATCATTGTTTACAAATCAAAATGAAAATGTGCTGGATCAGAAATCTGTCCCCAGTGTAGACATTTAAACAAAATAGCCTACCCTGCTTTGCTAACTCCTATTTTAGCTGCCTTTTTGCTTAAAAAGAAGAGCAAAAATGCTTTTAAGTACATAAATGTGCTACAAACTTACTTATGCTAATATACAGAAGAGATGGGCTAGCAACTTTGCTAGATGTATGTATACGTCAGATACATATATTGTGTGTGCATTATATGAAGAAAAGATGGAGATGTGTAAGTGTAGGAGTGCAATACTTCTAGATCAACAGAGATTCTGAGGCAAAATTATTTGCAGCTTTCGCTGTAAAATGTTCATCTATTATGCTCCTTGGGTTTGGTTTATAACTTAGTACAAAGTAAAATATGGAAGCAATTGCCTAGCATTAAATGTATTATAGAAAAATGTGTATTGTTTGCATTGCTGCCTTTACATGATTACTGTGAATAACTTGCAAGTGAATTATAACCACACACTAAATAAAAATTACTACTACTATTACTATCAATTCTGAAGAGGGTGTCAGCTGGAAAAGTGCAAAGGTAATCCAATTCATTTGGAAACAGGTTTCACTGAAGGTAAGGGAGATATTTCAAGCAAATGCCAGCAGGAATAGAACTCCTATAATGGAAAGTCTCTGCTTATGTTGAAGATACATACAAAGGGAGAGACCACAAAAAAACACCACAAAACACCATCACCTATCTAAAGCTGGTATGTTGATTTTGTCTATCCATCAGTAGGTATATTTATCTACCTCAAAGGTAGGAAACCTGTGTTTTCCAGATGTCTGACATTAGCTGTTAAGTGACTAGGGATTTTAGGAGGTGCCCATACTAATTTGAAGAACAAGTTGCCTAGGTCTAAGAGACAGTAGGAAGAAATTAGTTCCTATCTGTATCCACACTCTAGAACAATCTCTACTTGTGTGTGGAAGGGACACATCCAACCCAGTCTTAGTGAGAAGGAAGTAGATTCATTCTTTGCCATGAATATTATCACAAACAATTCTCTTCTGCTTCTCAGGTACCACTTTGAGCTAAAAAGGGAGTGCTACAAAACTCCCTACCCCAACCCTGTCTCATATTGCAACTATATAAGATTTGCTGGAAACAAAGAAAGATTTTCTTCAAAAGTGAGCATTACAATGTAATCTGTTTAAGTTACAGTATTTAATGTAAGCAAGGGTAGCAGTTTTAGATCCAATGAATGAATGATTAGGAAAGAAAGGAAAATACTTTATAAATGTTAAAGTAAAGCAACTGGAGATCTTCTTTCCCTGCAAAGCTGACTAGAGATCAAATGTCCTCCTTCAAAATATAAAAAAAAAATAAAAGTTAAGATTATTTATTGATTCAAGGAGGTGCATGAACTCCTGCAACCTTTCAAAATCAATGCCCTTACTTTCAAAAACAATGCCCTCTATAAAGTCCCCAATTTCAATCCAATTCTGTATCAGATGCTCAACTTTTAAGCACAGATGTAACAAACCACAATCTAGCCAAGCTGGAATGCAAAGCAGGATTTTGAATAAGGCAATTTGTAGATAAAAACTAATTATGATTGGAATAGCAAGATTTAAGAACACACCCAGAAGAATCTGAAAGGGCCACTGAAAGGTATGATCCAGATGTTGGGGTGGTCTCCCCTATAGAGGTGTCTTCCTGTGGTATTGGATGATGTTCAAAGAACTTGGAGACAAAGAGTAAACTGTGGAGCAAGAACAAAAATAAATCATAACATCAGAGAAAGAAAATATTATAAATTAACACATCCCCAAAAGAAAGCAATAGAAAATGATATCTAATTAGGAACCTTAAATTTAAATTGCTTGGAATGCTCACTCAAATAAATTCTTTTTGCTAGTCAGAATAGTAGCGATCTTGTTTCTGCTCAGGTTAAGCAGCTTTCTGCTTTTCTATGTGATAGAAATAAGACTAAAATGTTACACTTGTAACGGAGATAAATGAATTACCCCATGTGACAGTTGGAAGCTCTCTTTTGCCACATGAGCAAGCCTTTAAAATAGCTTTATTGATCTCTGCTGATGGAGAACAGGATGTACTGTATAAGGTAAAGGAATCCCCTCTACCCAAGACTAAGCAGGCAACTGAATGAGGGGACATATGGACTCAGCTCATCATGGTATCCTTTTTCTGTATATCTGTGTTGATTAAATCACAGTAATGTTACCAATAAGCATTTTGCTTTTTAAGGACAGCTTCTGGTTTCCTTAGGCTATTCCTTAGATTAATCTGAACAAGAGGCATTTGCATAAGGAATCTTTGTGCCCTAAGAATGACAGTTAAGCTCTTCTCAGTGCTTATATAAACAGATGCATTAAAACTCAGCAGTCTCTGCCACAAGTTTTAAATGCTTTTATTTTCTTAGAGTGCTCCCTTGATTTGGTGAATAAAGGCAGGATAGGTCTTTCTAACTAAATAATTACATAAATAAATTTTGCCAATATAATCCTAATTTATACAAAGAGTTCCAAACAACAATTCTATTGGTCTAGCAAGTACACATTATAGAATGCAAAATCTTATGGGCTTGTCACTCTAGCTTATATTTTGGGAGCACTGCATATAAAATATAGCTGGAACAGAATAGGTCCAATATAAATCTTTTTATAATACCAAAAGTTGGATGTACTTGATCACCCCTGTTTAAGTTAGATCTGCATAATCTTGCATACTTGTTATATTGCAGGCACCTCTCCTTATGGGAGAGACACCATGAGAGGACATAGTTTTCTTTTTGTACTACAAGGATGTCACTATAGCTTATTACATCTTCCTAAGATTCTTCACTGGCAAACATCTACAGCTTTAGGTCCAGAGCATTTAAGTTCCAGTTACTTACTCAAGCTGATCATAATTCACACACATCAGTGGTACTTCTGTACTGCAACGCTGATGAAATTTGTAACCACAAGTCTGGCAACGGAATCCTTGGAAAAGCAACTTTCTACAGAAGTCACAAAATGCTAATGTGAAGAATGTCTTCCGTACCTAAGCCATCAAAAAAATAAGAAGAGATGAAGTTCTATTCTGTTGAATATCATCTCACCAGTTGAAATTTTCTTCTGATTATGGCTCAATGCAATATATTATTCTATAAATAGTACATTTGTGAAGATCATAGTTCTCTGTTCAAACACTGAAAGCAATCCCTCACAACCTAGAACTTATCAGGTATATTGGTCTACAACTCTGAAAATTCCCAGTTAGCTTGGTCTTTGAACTAGGGGATTCTAGAAGCTATAATTCAACACTTCTAGAGGGAATCAGCATAAGCATCTATCAGTAACTATTATGACCCAAAATGATGAAAAGTCCATCATGATGTCACAATGCAAGGTTCATCCTTTCATACTTGCATTGCAACATCACACACAAGTATTTAAAGGAAAGAATTTGCATCATGATGCACATTTGATCCCTCGCCCTCTGTTCCCTCCCACCAGCAGATGCCCATAGGCATCGGGTTAGGAAAGCTGCTTTAGAAACATAGAAGAATACTGGACTACAGTATGCTATTATAGATAACACACATTTAGAGCATACGTGCCTAAAGACATACTGTATTATTAAATATTTATTTGCATTTTAAAGCAAAATCCAATTTTCATTCATATAAGATAATTAAGTACTCTCTCTCATTACTAGTTAGCTGGTTGTCTGCCTTCAGGTCTAAACTAGCAAGTTCATGTTCTGACTTTCTACCGTCTTCTATTACAAGGTATTTTATGAAAGAAAATGGGTTCAAGGTTTGAAGAAAGTCAAACATACAAAATAACTCAGTTAAAATAGTTCAACTGCTAAAGCCCCTTTTGCTGCTGGCAGGAAACAGAAAAAAATGAAATTATGATATATGGATTTGATGATTAGTTAAATTAATAGACTATACAAAACATGTATGTCAAGATATAGTTTTAGAATAAGAGGTTATTATATGATTCATCTATATCTGCTGTATAAGAAGTTATTCTTTTTGTATCTCTTTTTTCCTTTTCTTCTTCTCTACTTCCTACCACTTTTGTTTTCTTTCTTTCTAACTTTGTTGCTTTCTACTTTTCTTCTCAATTATTAGTTCTTGTTAGCTTTTATCTTTTTGGTTTTTAAAACTTAATAAAGTTCATAAAAAATAGTTTAACGACTGAAGCTCTATTCAGACATTAAAGAACTCATACAGTTATGGAGAAACAGGGATGTTCTTGCTGGCCCCTCCTGTTCTAATGTAACCACTCTGTCTAGCCCTATTTCTTTCTACCTTCTATTTCTCTGTACAGAGGCACCCATCACAATTAAGAAATAGTTTCCTTCATGTGGTTCTAATTGCCAAGTAGGTCTTTAATTTATGCAGATTAAAGCATGCATATATACGTATATATGAATATGTGTGTGTTTCTATATATATATAGACACACACACACAAACGCACACATATATGAGAGCAAAATTAAAGTGATTCCATATGCAATCCTAAACACATCTGTTTGAAATGCAATTATCTCTGAAGTCAATGCAACCTAATTCTCAAGGAACATGGTAAGAATTAGGGATGTAAAATTTCTGTAGATCATCAAGAGTTGAGCATGAATATCATGCAGAAGCAGAATTACATTCTGCTAAATTTACACTATATAAATTGTAATCTCTCTAGATGGCATTAGCCAAGTTGCAAGCAAATTGGTACATATTTCCACCAACAGTGACACTCTTTAATGCAGTACTCTGTAGGGCTTACTGCAGAAATAACAACTTCCAAGGGTTAGTTAAGTAAAACCAGAAAACACCAGTCTGGAAAACACTGCACTGATTTTTTACCATTTAAAGTGTTGATTTAGTCTAAAAAGCTCTAAGCAACTTATGACCCAAATACTTAAAAAAGATTTTCTCCCACAAATACTATCCAACTCATGCATTAAAGTTAGCTGGGAGGATCCTGCTGATAGCTCTACTGGTAGGTACAATTCAGTGCAATGGCCAGAAGTAAGGCTTTCTCAGTGATAGCACCCGATAATGGAACTCTCTACCAAAAGAAGCATGGCTTCTGTCCCCCCTCCCCCACTACCACTGAAGACACGGCATTTTCAAGACAATATTTTTTTCAAGTGTTGAAATGATTATTTTCTCTGGGTCTCTTAGCCTGCTAAATCGTAATATGATTTGTCTGCCATTGGCTTCCTGTTTTGGGTGAAGTTAGCTACTGTGGTTTGTAAACCATGTGGTGTGATCCTAAGTAACTGGAGTGTGTCAGCCATGACTGTGTTTCAGGAACATCTGACACTCAAAGAATATTGTGAGGCAGACCAATGTGGTTTTTAAAAGTTGCAAAAGTCGATGAAACAACAACGGACATTACGAGGGAAGACGACTTACAAAGTTATGTGTTGTAAGAGGCACATTCTCCAAGACTTCCACATGTAGTTCTTCTCCCGTCAACCAGGAAATGTCTGTGTCCCAACCAATGGGCTTCTTTTCCCTGCAGTGTAAATAAGCTCTTTGGGGTTAAATGCAATTTCTAAACTCAGATCTTAATGATGAAGATGTGCTTGTCAGAGGGATGGTGATACCAAACAAATGTTTGTTTCCCAGCCCTTTCCCCACAGAAACTTAATATAACTCTTTTTTTGCAATTCAACTCTAGCAAAGCTCTACAGCAGACTCTCAGGTTCCAAAAACCTCAGGAAGCTTCATTCTGATGAAATGACTATTTATCTCCACAACTAAAACTATATTAGTTTAGTGCCAGAGTAGTCTTCACAGAAAAACCTGAGAGACAGAAAGAATTTGGAAGTTGCTGTACTACAGTGTAAAGGAGAGATCACACTGAAGCTCCCTCCAGCAAAGCAACTAATGAATCAAGAGAACAAATTCTTCTCCTACCATCTGCCCTCCCACAATTTCATCAGCTGATACTAGGAGGTTCTTATTTTTGTGAAAGCACCTGCTTTGAATGATTGAAAGCTAGTATTCTCAGACAACTGGAAACAATCCCTTTAGCTGTTGATCTCAAGTGATCACCGCCCACAAAGCCATATTGCAATCAAACCATACCCATCCTGTATACGGTAAACAGCACAGCACTCTGGGATAAGACCTCGCATCATCAAAGCTTTCTTTAGACTCTCCCGGACTGTTACTCCACATCGTGCTGGAACCTACAAAGTTTTTTTAAAAAAAATCACTGCTTTACATTTCAGTGTAGTATCATGGGAGATATTTACATTTCAGTGTAGTATCATGGGAGATATTTCTAAACTCTAATATATATATATATATATATATAGTATTCTCTTTATTTATGTATTTTAATTTTTACAATCTTTAAAAATTCTGCTGAAACAGACCAACCAGTGTTTAGTAAGATACTGGTTCTGAATATAAAGAATCAAAATCACTCTGTCATGGCTAAAAGACCTTGAAAAACTTCTCTGAGAATGTGCCAAACCTCAACAGAGTTTTGTGAACTCCTTGGAATGCTTCCTGAAGTAATAAGATGGCTTACAAACAATCCCAAAAGATAATTATTGCCAATCAGTATTATTATAATTAAACATACATTTTCCAAAATTTTTAAATATTCCTGTAGTACACATCAAATAACATGGCTGACATTTAATACAAACCTTTTAAGTGACTTGTATCCACTTCTTTCCTTTTTATGTATAACATTAAAACATATTAATAGTCCTTATAATACCTAACCTTTTTCTTCAGTTCTGCTGGGACACAAAATAACCAGAAACCATCATCCTGCAACCCCTTTTGCAAAAACAAAAACAAAAAACACTGTCATTCTTATCACCTTCTATTTACATTTTTTTGCTCTGAAGCTATTTTATTTATTCAGAGAAAAACAGCTGGGTGATTCTGAATGGAATTAAGGACTAAATAAGAATGTTCTTCTTGAGAAAAAGAAACATACTTGTGTTTAGATGCCAGGTTATACATATGTTCATGGCTTTGGCTGAAATCATGAGACAAAATAAAGGCAGGAGGAGATGTGTTAATTTGAAAACTTTGCAGAGTTTTGTTGTGAACAGGTATTTGCCACTTTGTATTAAAAAAACTGTTTAGTTTCTGTTAGCAGGAAACTGCTGGGGATGTGAGCAAAGAAAATGTTTTACATATCTTAAGACAAGAGAAGAATCCTGCCTTGGGAATAGCAGAGGTATATGCAGAGTATTACAGAACACTGTACTAACAGGATGCTGCATAGACGAGTGCTGTATACTTTCTAGTGCTCAGGGAAATGTTCAGTGCTTGGGCAGTGCAACTGCAAAACACCCTCCTTACTAATTTCTTTTGGCACATCTTTCCTCCTCAGCTTTTATTTTAGAAACTCTAGTAGTGAGAAGAAACAAACTATAATCTGGAAAAACAACTGTTGCATCACAAAGAATACACATCAAAGCTGAAAATATTTCAGATTTTTGAGAACTGTCCTGTCATTTTCAGAAGTTCTGAATCCTAAAAGGAGAATCTCAGCTTTGGCTTTTAAGCAATAAAAATATGACTCTTTAAGATTGAAAAGACAAAATGTGAAGTGTATGGGAGATGCCTGGTCAATTCTCAGCACTAAGGAAGATTGGAGCATAATTCCCAAAGACTGGAGACAGTTTTGCTTCACTAGATTGGTATTCCAGATAGTCCTAGCTACCTAGATGTTTGATGTAAAAAAAAAAAAAAAAAAGTTATACAGCAAACCACTCTATAATTTTCTTAGTCTCCCTTTTAATGTAATGTGATATTTTAAAACCATTTTAAAAACCATGTTAAGTCATTACGGAGTCGCAACCCCACCCTTTTTATTGTAAAATATAGCATTATATCTACTCCCAAAAAATTGAGCAAATTTTAACAATGTGCACATGATATTAAATGAGAAATATTAAAAACTATCATAGGGGACTAAACAACTGAGGATTAAATCCAACAGATACAAATCCAATCCAAATTGTACTGTATATCTGAAATTTAATTGTTGTACGCCACCCAGAGTCACCTTGTGTGAGATGGGCAGCTATATAAATATGATAAATAAATAAATAAATAAAATTAAATAAAATTCAATCTCACTAAACTTGGTGGATGCTTACATTTGAATAAACACATACAGAATTGCAGTACTGTTAAGTACTGCCAAATTATTCTGGTTTCATGGAAAGAGTTAAGCATGTGCTGAACTCTTCTACTGAAATGAACCAGAGGTAAAAGGCTCTCACTTCTTCTAGACTACATTGCATCGAAATTTGAGTTTCGAATTGCCTTTGCATTTAATATTTCTTTTGCAACCCCATTCTATTTAGTGCTGTTACACTTAATTTTTCTCATTCCTAAAATGGCACTGTTCTATATCCACCCCCTTTAATTATATGTACTCCTGGTAATTCCTGTTTCAGATCCTCTCATCTCATATTTTCAGTATAGCCTGTCCTTCCTTCTCTTCCTATTGAGGACAGAAACCACAATCTAAGTCCTTTCCCTTGTTCCTAGCCTTTATGGTCTCCTTGGTAACAATAAGCCTAAATATGCGCAAGAAATTATTAGAAAGGGTGATAAGATTATCACTGGGCATGGTGTCACTGCCATGTATCAAAACCATTTCCCATTTAATAGTTCAACATAGTAACCCCAGTTACAACCCCTTACTCCTCAGGCAGCATGAGCTGCTCTCTGTTGTTCTGCTTAAGGTCATCCATGGTCAGGCTCTACTCCCTAAAAAATACTGTAATCCCATATGTTGGGGTTTGTAGCTTTTTTGGATCAGTGGGCCATATTGGGTCTGCAGAACTCTTCAGAGACTCACAAATTCTGCAGCAATAACATACATATTTATTATAATACATATCATAGCTGCAGGAATGGAGTATATTTAATTTTTAATTGCTGGCAGAGAGGCTTTATTTAATCTTATAATCTTCCAGCAACCTGGCAAGCTATTGGAAGTATGATGGTATTGAGGAAGAAAGCATGCAAAGAAACCTTCTTAACATCTTTTTTCTCAGTGTAACTAGAGCAGAGTGTGACAAGAGCTTAACACTCTGATCCTCTGAACATGAAGAGTAGGGTCACATACAGTCATTCTACACAACACCATAGCTGATAATAAGTAAACGAATAAATAAAAATGAAAAAAATTACATATACTCTACAGAATGGAAGTTGTATAACACCCATTTTCACAAAATTTTGCCAAACTACCACCAGTAATGTATTCCAGCCATTTACAGCTGTTCAGGTCTTACCACAGTCCTCTGTTTGTTGGGTAGGAAAACTCTAACAGTAGGCTTCTGAGGAGATTTAGGGTTACTCCGTGATAAATCTACAGGATTCTGATAAACAGAGAGAGATGAAGGTGCTACAGAAAGACTAGAAGATGATGATGATGTAACTGTTTCTGTTGAGGCAGAACTGGAGACAGAGAAATCAGTTCCATTTCCCATTGATTCCAACAATTGTTGCTCTCTCTGTTGCAATGCATCTAACTTGCTGGTGTATTCCTCATATGCCTATAAGAAAAAAAAAAGAATTGTTAAATAATGATCTAAACTGATTTGCAAATCTACTACTAAACCTATTATTAATCTTCCCCAACTTGGCATCTCCATATGTGCTGGAACACAATTCTCATTATCTCCAGCCATGAGACTTATTGGCCATTTTTGTTGAAGTGATGACAGTAAAGTTGCCTGGTATCTTGCACATCAGACTGAAGAAGACTGTACTATGCAATCCACACATGCGGCACAATAACATTTAAAACTTAATGGGAAATTCAGCCAATTACCCAGATATACATTTTCTCCAATGCAGAATTATATATTACTATATATGGCAACATAAAACTAATTCAAGGATGGAGGAAGATGCCTCAAGGACAAAAGAAGTTGTTCAGTCCTTCCCAATCTCCTAATTTTTCCTTGGATCTTTTACCTCTAGCCAAGTCCCCCCTCCCTCCCAAGCAGGCTTTGAGACTGAAAATAGGTCCATCTGGAGAAATATGTGTTGGTGAAGGAAACACTGGAAAGAATCAGCGATAAAGGAAGGATTAAGCTCCTCTCCTACATCTGAAAATTGCATTACTATTATACAGTACAGATATTTGCTGAGGATTAATTTATTTTACCCTTTATAATTCTATTCTGCCCCAAGTGATGTATATGCACTATAAAATTGGACTAAGACTAGAAGAGTTAATAAGAGTTAGAAGTCATTACTTCTAGTCACCTTTTGCCCCCTATTTAATGACTTCTCTGCCCAAAGTAGACATTGTATTGCTTCCTTCTTTGTTTTCTATAAAATCATTGGTAGAAGCTTCTCAGATATATACAACGGCCTGGATAAGAACAAGCCTCATAATCACATGCTCCTTCAACTGGAAATTGCAAATAGCATATTATGGTTTGGAAACTTCCAATCTGCTTGGAAAGCTAGGTGCATGGAGGGTAGGAGAGAATACATGAGCTCAAATGACTCATAATGGCAATAGTCCTATATAAATGTAATGTATCAAGTAGGGAAAATCTGGATTGTGACATTAATGTGCAATCTAGCAAATAATTACACATACTTGGAAAACTACTTTGCCTAGAACTTCAGTGCTAAATAAAGAAACAATGAGTCCCGGGGAAAATAGGTAATATGTATAGAATTCTAAACAGAATAAAGGCAAACGTTTAGAAACAATGAAGATGCAGCCTGCAGTATGGCTTAGCCCAGCAGTCCACCTGTTAGCACCTTCTCAACTTCTCTTAGCCACTACAGCTGCTGATATCCACATGATGAAAGGAAAGGAGAGGGGGTGGACTCTATGGCACCAGTGTGACACAAGAATTCCCCAATGTTACAACAGGTACACAAGGAACTAGCACCTCCCCTTCATCTTTCACTGACTCCCTCATCATCATATGCACACACCACCATCAAGTAAACCCCTCAATCTTGGCTTTTTCCTGCTCTCCTCGCTCAAATATTCTTGTCCATATCCAGAATAATATAGCCCCGTTTTGTTCCATACATAGACTAAATTATATGAAACATGCATGTTTGGCATGGATCACCCTAAACCAACTGTTTTATGCGCTGGACAGCATGTATAGAATGTTTTATATAGCCCTAATATAGTACATATGTATCTACGTACACACACACACACATTTATATATCATACTATTTTAAGCAACATTATAAAAAGTGCAGAAAAATAGTGAGAAAAGTAGTGAGCAAAATAATTAAACACAGATTTGAGAAAAGGAACTCTATAATTACATTTAGTTTCTACCAGCACCAGTTACTATACTTCTCCATACTTTTCCAACCTTGCATATTAGCCAAAGTATATATGCTGATTCATACATTACCGTTTTTCTTTCAAACTTTCACTTCTCACTTTTTGAAGATCTCATTAAATCCATCCAACCTCAAGTTTCTTGGACTTCCATTCTTCTCAACCCACGCATCCTTCTTTCATGTATTTATTTTGTAATTCAACCTTAATTCATTATCTCTGTATGTAAGACTACTTCAACATACTTATTTCATATTGGTTATTCATATTTAATATAAATTTATTCAACATCCATTCTTTCCTGCCCTATCTTTTTGTTCAACTGTTCAATTTCTTAATTCACCCATTTCCACTATATTCAACTTACTTTTATGTTTTTTGTACTATACTCTTCCATATTATAAAATGGGCAGAAGCATACTCTTACATACAACCATTTTCACTTCTTCTAGTAAAAAATCTTTCTCACTACCCACTACATATAACCCACTACCCTTCTAGAAGTATTTGCATATGAGAATTAATAAATCAACGTACTTATCTTTACTAAACATTCATCTACATGCTCTAATTTTTCACCATTTATGTATAACTCAATTTTCTCTTTCAAATACCATTACCTTGTTTTTTGATACATTTATTTTAAGGTCCATATTCCTTGTCACATCATACAACATTCAATATAAATCATTTGGGCTTTCAGCCAACACCTCAGCATTGTTTACATGTGAAAGCAGACACACAGTTATATTCCCAACCAACATACTTATAAAACGTCACTGCCAGCTTTATAAATCCTTGTCTTACTTTCTGCTCAGCACTGATGCATTCAACTAAGCATTCCATTTACTATTTATTAAGCATTCCATTTGCATGCTTTACTTCCATCCTAACTTCACTCCTAAATTTATTCCATATTTATGCAAAATGGTCCATATTTCAAGCCTATTTGTTTTATCATATACTTTTTCTAAGTCAGCTAGGTTTTGCAATAAACTTTTCTTCTTACATGCATGCAATGCTCAATGACCTACTTGCAGGCCAAACATTTACATCTTCTGCCTGACATAAATCTATACCATGTTTCCCAAACAGAGATCATTGTCACTTTTTCTACACATTCAATGAGATACTGCCGAACATCTTCCCTGGCATGCTTAAAAAATTAGCCTCTCTGTAGTTTTTGCATTCATTCCCCTTTTGTACAGGGGAAGAATAATAGTATTCTTCCAACTGTCAGGCAGAGAAACAGTTTTAACACAGACAGTAGACAAATAATTCACACATTTCATAAGCAGACACATCTATAGTTTGACATGTTTCCATGTAATCTATAGCCTTACCATTTTTTAACATAACGATTTCTGCATCAGTATTTTTCTTGGGCACTAGTATTAGTAGCATTCATTTTAATTCCACTCTTCAACATATCACTATTAATTCCCTCAAATCCAAAAGCTTCTTCTATGCCCTCCTTGCTAGAATGAAGAGACTGAAACGTGGGCTATGTCACCAACTGTCAGACACCAGGAGGGACTGTTATAAACAATTCAGAGATGTGTAGAGATTTTATGGCAATCTTTCCAAGTCAATGACAATTGATCCTTACTGCAAAGTCCATGAGTTATGCAGGAGACATGTGTGATATGAATAGGGGCAAGCTGCAATCCAATTCTGTTAGGAAAAAAGATAAATCTACCATTCATATATAATATGAGAATACAAAAGCAAAATCTCAAGGAGATATGCAATAAAAATTGCAATGCAGAATTGTATACTGCACAACAAAAAGCCTAGGTTTTTTTTCAGCTTTCTAACAAATTAATAAAATAAATGGTAAGTATTACCTGTGCAAACAAACAAATATTTGGGGATACATACTTGTGACTGAGTGCATTTCTTTTTCAGAAAATATTTTGAATTCAAATCAAACATACACCCCAGCTAAACAGATAAATGAATGATAATTTTCATCCCCTACTGTCTGAAAGATTGTGAGTAAGTTACCAACCCAAATATTCTCTTTTCCCAATTCACACAACTCATTTCCTTCCTTCCTTCCTTCCTTCCTTCCTTCCTTCCTTCCTTGCCTGCCTGCCTGCCCGCCTTCCCTGCCCAACTCCTACATTATTCTGGGCAGCTTACAACCAACATATAAAAGAATACACCAACCAGAAGAGTGAAATACCCAAACCAAACTAGGTTCCACAATCACCCTATTCCCAAGACCTGGGGAGAATAACCAGATTTTCAATAATTTCTTCAACTACATTAGAGTGGGAGCCACATGAATCTCTGGGGTAAGATCATTCCAGAGTGCAGGAGTTGCAACACAGCAGGCATGCTTCCTGGGTCCTGCAAAATGACATTCCTTAACTGATGGGACACAGAGCACGCACACCCTGCTCAACCTTACTTGACAGGCAAAGACAACTGGAGATAGACGGTCCCTTAGATAGCCAGATCCTATGCCATGAAGGGCTTTAAAGGTGATAAATCTGAATTCCACCCAGAAGCAAACTGGTAACCAGTGCAGCTCATGAAGCAGTGGGGTGCCCCCAACACTGCCCACACTGCCACATTCTGGACTAGCTGTAACTTTTGGATGATCTTCAAGAGCAGCCCCAAATAGAGCACATTACAGTAATCCAATTGTGAGGTGAATAGTGCAACTTGTGCACTAGCTGTACCTGTGCAAAAGCGCTCTTGGCCAGAGCTGCCACCTGATCTATGAGCAGGAACAGAGAGTTCAAGAGGACCTCCAGATTGCACACAACTCTTTAATGTGGAAGTGCATCCTGTATTGGTATGTGGGAATGACCTTGGGAGACAGGGCAATAAATGCAACCAAGGGAACAGTTAGATAAAGGGCAGCTTAGCCTGCAGCAGAAATGTGGGTGGGGCAAGAGCCTCAGAAGAGACCCTCCCTAGTTTTTCAGCTGCAAAGGGGACAGGGAGAGAGAAGTACTTTCAGACTTGGAAGATTCTGTTAATGTAACCTTACAAAAAAGTAGAATTAGCTCATCTGGTCGTGTTTCTGTCTGGGCTACCTCATAAGGCTGACACACCCACATTGAAAGTCAATAATGGAATGCATCTTGATTCGAGGACCCAAATAGACATAGCCACTCAGTCTTGTCAGGACTGAGCCCCATCCATTCTCTCCATCCAGATCTGCATTGCCTCAAGGAGGCTAGGGGTTCAACGGCAATGCTTGGCTGGAAAAGGATTGAGATATACAACTGGATATCATCCATATATTGGTGACACCTGGCCATAAAACTGGTGGATGACCTCACCCAGCAGTTTCAGGTAAATGTTGAACAGAAGATAAGAAAGCGTTAACCCCTGTGGCACTTACATGTGAGGGGCCATGGGCACAATCTCTCCCCATCAGTCAACACCAACTGAAACTGGCCACAGAAAAACAAGGAGAACCACTGTAAAATGGTGCATCTCACCCCCTATTCCTGAAGTCTTTCCAAAAGGATACCATGGTCAATGGTATCAAAAGCCAGTGAGAGATCAAGGAGCACAAGGATGGATGCACCCTCCCCCCAGGTCATCAACAAGCATAACCAATGCTGTCTCCGTACTAAATTCCAGCCTGAAATCTGACTGATGTGGGTCCAAATAATCCACTTCCTCCAGGGTCTTCTGGACCTGAAGCCGAACCATCCTGTCTACCACCTTCCCTAAAAAGGGAAGCTTGGAAACTGGATAATTGTACAGGACTGTAGGGTCCAGATGTGTCTTCTTAAGGAGAGGGCTGTCAGCCCCATTAGGTAGACCAGACCAGAAAATTAGTAAACCAAAGACTAGAACTACACTTTATTGAGATAGGCTATAATAACAAAATCTTACAAGCATGATTGTTGCAAGCAGGAATCTCCCCACCTTCTTATACCTTAGTGCAGTGTTTCTTAAACTTTTTGGTCTCAGGAATCCTTTTCACTTTTAAAAATTATAGAGGACCCCAAAAGAGCTTTTGTTTGTATGAGTTACATTTATCGATATCTACCATATTACAAATTAAAATTGACGCATTTTAGAATATTTATTTATTGAATCATGTAAAAATAACAATATTAAACCCATTAGATATTAGCATAAATATTTTTCATGAAAAAAACCAATATTTTTTTAACAAATAAAAAATAATGAGAAGAGTGACATTTAAAATTTTCGCAAATATCTTCAATATCTGGCAAATAATTTTGATTTTGTGGACCTCTGAGAGGATCTTGGGAGACCCCCAGGGCTCCTTGGACCACACTTCAAGAACACTGTCCTAGTGAATCAGGGAGGCATTTGCTTGAGCTTCTTCTGAATAATATCTTGCCTCCCAGGACTTAAAGAATGTTTCAGCTCTCTTCACTTAGATAACAGTTGTTGCATATTTCTGTCAAGGACATCTCCCTTCCTCTCTACAAAGATGCACCACAGGCTCCTTCAAGGCTGAGGTGACCACCCTCTCCCTCTAAGGAACTGATATCACCACATGGACCCAACCACAGGTAACCTCCGGAGTGGCTTTAACCATCCAGAAGGGACCTGGATCTAACAAGCAGGTGGCTTAGCTGACAGACTGAAAACTCCTGTTCATTTCCTTGGGAGTCACAGAATAAAACTTGCTCCAGATAACCGCACAAGGCCTTGTCCCGGGCACCATCCAGTCGGAGTCCAACTCTGAGTGAATCCGAGCGACTTTATCTGCCAAATAGCAAGAATATTCCTCACAGTGGCCCCTCAAATGGTCCTGTGACCTGTTCCTCCTCAGCAGGACCTGGGTCTCCCTGAACTGGGCTGCCAGGCAGCTACCAGCAAATGCAATATGGGCAGAGAAAAAAGAATGTTTCGCTGCCCTTATCGCCACAGTGTAATCCCTAATATAAGTTCTTACTCATGCTCGTTCGGATTCACTCTTCATCTTCCGCCAACGGTGCTCCAGGCATCTCTTCTTTCTCCTTTGCAGAAAACTATGGCTTTTGCTGAAAGGCAATGTCCACATCAGCAATTTATCTTCAAAACCAGAACCCAAAATCAGAGTCTGAAATATGTCCTATCATGGTTTACCAATTCAGATGATAGCGTTAACACCAAGCGCTAAATATGCAGGAACCACATTTAATTGGAGGAAAGAATGCACATTTTAGATCTTTAAACCATGATTTGGAGGACTGTCAGAAGCACATCTAACATTAATGAAATGACCATCAGAAATTGCTCAGCATCCATCAAGGTTTTGAGGCAAATCACCTTAATAGGTCCACTACCCTCATAGAGGTCCAGGATGCTCACAATCTGCAGCCTGACCAGAAAGTGATCTGACTATGGCAAAAGACAAAAATTAACACCCCCCATATCCCAATCAAGTTTCATCTGCTCTGGAGCAAAAATTAGTTAGTCCGTATCCACCTTGTGAGCTGGAACTGAAATTACTAGGGCAAGTCCATGGTTCCCATGGAGCCATGAATTCTCAAGCCAATCCAAACTCCATCTCTAAGGTATGGAGGTTGAAGTCCCCCCAAAAGCTTCAGTGACCTCAGCATCAGCCCAGAAAGGAAGTCTAAAAGCTTCTGAACGGTAACTGCTAGGTAGCAGAGTGGTCAGAACATGTGCAGCAGCCCAAGCCCTGGCTTAACCTCATGTACAGACACTCACTTCCAGTTATTGCCAGAATTGTGCTCCTGGTCACTGCTAAGGTCTTCTGAATGATCACAGTAACATTTCTCCAGATCTTAGCATTGTGGCTGCTGCAGGACCTGAAACCCAGGAAGGCAAATCTATGACAGGGCACATCCCCATTGCTATGAAGCCAGATCTCAGTAATACACACAAGATCTGCAAACTTATCCAACGTTAGATCATGGATGGATGCCATCTTATTCTGCATTCCAGCAGCAGCCTGAAACCATGGTGGTCTCCTAGTTCTCTCAGCCATACTTTCTTCAGTACCTCACTGAATCAATATGGCCCTCCATTCCTGTGCCTCTTGCACTTGTATCTCCCTGAATTTGTATACGCATCATTTTAATTCTCAGACCACAGTATGTGGACCAACTTTGCTATTCTATTTAACCCACTAAACCCAACAATTCTCTGAGTTCCCACTCATATAACACACCTATTACCTTTCTTCAATTTCAACAACTGCAACTTCAATTTAATCATTTAAAAACCCTCCACACCTCTCACATGGAAATTCTTTCCCCTACTCTTGCAATTCAGGAATTAATTCTCACTCAGGGTATTAGATTGTACCCAGTTTGCTTTTGCTTCTGACCAGACCTCTAAGCCAACAAATTTAATGTTCTGCTTATGGACTCCAGGCACCACCTATAAATCAGCGTTGAGGAAACTTTGCAGGAGCCTCTTTCAGCTAGCACACCACCACTGTTCTCATATCCATCCCAAGCTACCCATGTCTGCCGTGTCATCCACCTTTGCCTTCCTACCCAGGTTCTGCCTCTGTCACTGGTTTTCAACAGGCTCTCCAAGTCATGGACCCCATTCTCCAGCCTGACCACCTTCACAATCCCTGTTGCAGCTATTCTGTTAAAAACAGCAGCTGCTGCATTATTTTGTTGTCCCCAACAGATGCTGCCCAAAGGCAACCACTATTTCTACATCTGTTCCCTTGTCACTCTTTGCTGCCATGCAAGAACAACTCCATGCCAACACCAAGTCACATCAATCACCAGCTCCTATTTTTCTCACCATGTTTAATCTTGTTCTTATTATCCTACCTGCCACCTATAAATTTTATTCCATTTAACTTTCTCGCTATTCTTCTTCCTTCTAACTCTACTCCATCCCACTCTTACTTCCTTCATCCTCTGTCCTATTTTTCTTTCCTCATCCATTCTACATTCTCACTTCAAACACCAAAATCCCCCGGTAGGACAGCTGGGTGCCATTTTACAAGAAGAATTAGCATGAGAATTGTCCCAAAGCCTGTAAATGCCCAGAATTCAGCACAGACAGTAGGAAAGAGATGGCCCCTGAGATAGTTGGCCTTGCAGTTTCAGACTAATCCAAACCTGATTAATATCCAAATCTTTTCTTATATCCTTTGGTGCCTGGAATTCTCTTGCTGAATCTTAGACTGTTGTTAGGCTTTGTCTCCGCTTCACTACTCATGCATACCCACTTGCTTTGACTTTAGGACTCTAGCTTACATTTTTAATTAAAAAACACTATATAAGTCTATAGGTACTTTGTAATCTTTTAACAGGCAGAAAAACTGTATAATAATAATAATAATAATAATAATAATAATAATAATTATTATTATTATTATTATTCAATACTTACCTCCAAATAGATCGAGGGTGGATTGTGTTCTCCTCCAAACTTGTCTAGCAGAGCTTCTATGTGTTCTTGTGTTAACTTAATCATCTGTTTGATATTCCACACCTAGAAAAAATAAGAAATATTTCAATGTACCAGGTAAAGTATAAAGTTTTAAACTTAATATCTCAAATATATACTGATGGCCAATTCACTTACGAATGTTGTTAGATATGATGGGGTACACATATGTATAGTCACTACATATGTAATGCAACCTAAAACAACTACTTAATAATTCATCTATCTTTCAAGCTTCAATTATATAGCACAATGAATCCAGCAAATATTTAGTGGCAGGGAGTGAGAGCCAATACACACTCATAAAAGCACATACTACAAATGTGTGGCACAGATGACCAAGAGTACAAGTAACCGCCCAGAGTTGGTCTGCAGTGAGATGGGTGGTGACAAATTTGAAATATAAATAACTAAATAAATTACTGGATTTGCCAATGCATTCCAGGGTTGTAGGCTGCAATGACAGTTAAAAAAAGAACCAAGAAGAAGGCTATGGCCAATGATTTCCTTCCTGTTGCCAAGAAAATTGTACATATATGTCCATGTAATCATTAGGACTAGAACTAGATTTGAGGGTCCAAAGTATGGATAAATCTATAACTATGTTGTAAAGAAGTTATGGTAAGAAGCAATGTAAACCCTCTTATCATATGTACTTCTATCCTTCTGTCAGCATTGATACGATTATTACTTTGGTATTGTACAGAAAGCTATTTATAGAATACATGTAAAAACAGTAACAATTAGCCAAAAGACAACACCTAAGAATTTAAGTATTTGCTTCTGCCAAAAAAAAAAGTACACGGAATGTTCGCACAATCACCACAGAGACTTAACAATCTGTTAAAATTGTGGAGAACAGAGCTCTAGAACCTATTTATTTATTGGAATAACATCCTACCTTTCTGCTCTGGTGAAAACTAAAAATAAATAATTATTTAAAGAGAAAACAGTTTTAAAAATACAGATGAAAATTAATGAAAATATCATACTAAAGTCAATTATTTTAACTATTAAAAAACCTGGGGAAAGGTAAGAACCTTTCCAATTTTTCAAAATCTTGAGAGTGGTCTTCAAACATAACTCCTGACGGAATACCTTCTGTAATCTGAGTGCAATGCAGAAGGCAGCCCTCTCCTTATACCAGAAAGACTGGTCACTGACAAGCAGCACACATCTTTCTGTACAGGCATTATATGATCCCTCTACCTTGGACTGGTTAGCAACATAACTGTTGCCTAGTGCATACTCTATAACTTTTACATACTTTTCATGGCAGCCCCACAGTTCCTACAGCCATCATTTTGATTCTAGTGTCAGCTGAGAATTAAAGAGCACTTCCAGACTGAGAACTTGCTTTTTCAGGAGTACAACCCTTCCTTGATCTTCAAGTTCAATTTCTATTCGTCAACAGCACCTCCATATTATCCAGATTTAACTTAATCTTGTCCTCTCTTCTCCAACACATTATTGAGCTAAGGCAATGAAGGGGACAAATTGTTTCCCTGGAACTGAATGGGAAACACAATAAAGCTGATGTCATCAACATACTGATGACACTGCATATCAAACAAACAACTCCAACAGTTTCATGTAGATGTTGAAGAGCATGAGGGATAAGATGGAACTCTCTGAGAGACCATCACTCAATGTTCTAGGTGTCAATTAATAATCTACCAGTACCACTCTGTGGACATGGCCTAACAGGAAGGACCAGAATGGTATGGAACAGGCTGAAAGGTCCATGAGAACTAGCAGGTCTGCACTCTCTCCGTTTAGTAACTGGCATAAATCATTCACCAAGGCTACCAAAGCAGTCCCAGTGGTTTAAAAGTACAGATCATAATCTCTATATACCATAACCACTGCATCTCCTTGCATTCCAATCTAGCCCAAGATAGCCTGGAGGACAGACCTGGGAGAGAATAATTCCCTTCTTTTCTATCAGCCAGATCTTTGTGATATATGATAGGCCAATGCTTTTACTACAGTTTAAATTCTGAATAACAGATGTTTTACCAGCAACTGGCTTCAAATTAATAATATTTTCAGGCTGGAGGGGCCACATTATTATCACCTTGACTTCTTTTCTTAGATTGCATCTGAAAGGAAAGGAGGCTAACCACCAAAAATACTGTTTTAAGGAGATTAATATTTATTCTTTCTTGGAAATCTACGTACAGTGAATACTTTTTGTTCTTCCTTTCAAATCACAACTGAGGAGCTAGGACTCCATACTTCACATCACCACACAGTTATACTGAACTTAATGGTGAAAATGAAGGCTTACTGAAGTATAGCTACAAGCTAAAGCAAATGTGGGAGAACCTGTAGTTTTCTAGAACTTGCAAGAGTCCAACTCCTATCTTTCTCAACCAGCATGATTATCAGTCAGAAGCATAATGGATTTTAAGAATTGCACATTTAGAGTTGTTAATATATCCATAATATATGTAAAACAAAATTTTATGGGTTTTTTTTCCCAATAATAGTTTGAAAATGTAAACACTTACCTTTCACCTCAATAACTAGTATTGCTCACTTCTTTTGCAAGGATATGCCATGTGACAGCCTTACTATGGTAACTTAGTAAGTAGTTATTTCAACATCTACATTAAATAAAACATCAGTATCATTATAAGAAAATGTGAGTGTCTAGAAAATGGAGCAGCTGTTACGGGAAAAGAAAAAAAAAGTACTTGAACCATTAATTATGCAAGCATGGACTACAGAACATGTTCATTTTCATTCATATGTTTTTATTACTCTTTCCATATGCTAGGCAATTAGGGAAGCAAAGAAACCCTTAAAACAGTAACCTACATAAATGTGTGGCCAGCAATTTGATCAAAACTCCAATAGTTATTTTTCTTCACTGCAATTCATTCTGTTATGAATTGCACTGTATATAAGCATACATAAATATAATTTAGCTTGAATTTTGCTATAACTTCCATTTCAATTCATTTACATTGCAAGGCATTTAGAAAAAGCCAGAAATAATGCTTTCTATGAATGTAAAGGCACACATATAAGTTCACTAATGATTCATAATTTATTCCTGGAATAAATATTTGAGCATGTAGAGTTAGAGCAACTGGAAGCAGAAAATAAAGTATTAAAAATGGAAATTTGTTGCCTCCACTATAGTCATCAATTTACAATCAACTTCTATGGTGTCTTAAAGATTCAAGATTTTTGTAATACATAACAAGTCTGCTGCAAGAAACAAAAACAGTTTACCATTTAGGATCCTGTATGACAGGATGAATATTTTTTTAAAAATTCCTCCTCTGTAAGGAATTAGAAACTTATATTTGAAACCAAATTCACTATGAAATTTGCTATGAAATAATGTGCAGACCTAACTGCATAAAGAGCAAATAGTGACAATATGTACTGGGATAAGTATCTTATCATTTTCAAGGAAAAGAATCACTTAACTGCAACATACAGTATTAGTTTTTCTTCAATAAAACTTTCCAGTACCCATAACATTGCATTTTAAAAACCTGCTCTCATTGAGATTGAGGCAGACATCAGTATTTTATATTCATCACACTTATGTACTATGTTTAGTATCAAAAATTTATCAGACCAAGAATCATAGGTGAACAACCAGCATGCATATGTGAACGTAGCATTCTGCCACACAGCTGATTTAATATTTCTGTCCACTATTTTCTACATCAGGTGTACTTTCCATCGTCTTTGTAGAATGTGTGTGTGACCATGCCAAGTACTCTTGGTGATGAAATGTTAGATTACTTGCATTTTACTAAAGTAGGTAAAGAGTTAACTGGACACTTCCTAATAAGGAAATTGGGGCATAAAGCTAGGAGAAAAAGAGAAGGCTTGAAAAGAAGCAGCTGACATTTGTCAGAGGAGAGGAGAGGAGAGGATCAAGACATCAGTGGCCTTTGTGAAAAAGTAAACTAACTTTCTGTAAATAAGTTGTTTCTGTATCTCTAAACAGGAACAACTTCTATCCCATATTATTTGTTCAAACGTTATTATTAAAACTTTAATTGTTTATAAATAGTTATCAAATAAATGAGCAATACAATATAATGTGCCCCCCCGATACAACACTACCAGGAGGCAAAAAAAGAGAAGACAACATGGTATAAAAGAACAGAATTCCAACATTTGAGGATGGTGGCAATAAGATTTAAAGTTATATTTACCCCCAAAATAAACGTGGAAGAAATCATGACAAAATAAGCCCAGTCTCAACACAACTGGTACAAAAATACACGCTGGGCAAGGGGACTTTTAGCCACTGCTGCTACTCAGTCCTTGAGAAACACCTGCTTTTTTCAAGGTGAGTACAAGCCCTTCCCTAAACAAGTGTAATATTTTCATTGAATCAGTATGTTTTTTAGTATTTATGTATAGGGTTGTTTTATAGTTGGATTTTAATTGATTAATTAATTTTAATTATTTATATGGTATTTTTTTTAATGGCTTGGGTTGGTGGTTTTAATTGTGAGCTGCCCAGAGTCACCCGTTGGAGGAGATGGGCAGCATACAAATCTAATAAATAAATAAATTTCCATACAAGTTACCATTTATAAGAAAGGTATACAAGGCATGATCGCAAGATAGTACAACAGATTTTTTTTATTACATCCAAAGTCTGATAAAACAAGGCCAGTTAAATCAAGAGTTTACTGTATTATTAGTTGACTTACTTCTCCCCATCTAAAACACTCAGAGTAGACAATATGACGTTTTAGTAATAATCTGAAAGAGGTAAAGAACATTTATATTTATACACATTTGGTTCTAATTATTGTTCAGAATCTATATAATCATCCCATATCTGAAGCCTCTTAATTCCAAAAACTGATTTGAATCCTGGACAAAATTAAGTTTTTAGAGACTGAAACAAAGGAAGACTTGAATTGCTAAGTACTAGCCATTTACTTTTAATGGCATGAACTAGCTCTATCCATTATAGTTGCATAAACAGGTGCACTGTAACAGTAAATCAGTTTTCTCTCAATAGTTGCAGTAATTTGGGGGGAAAGGTACTGTTCCATCATGTGCTTGGCAGGTTTATTATGAAATAGCAACCTTATATTTGTTCCCTGAATAATCCTATACTACCTCTTTCAAGATGAGTTGGCAAGCTATGCAATTTTCAATTAACAACCCAGTTTAGACATTCTTCAGGTGGTGTCAACTGGAAGGAATTCATTCTAGGACATAGTTTATTGAAAGCTCTTGGCCCCTCAATAACTGCCTGGCTGCGCATAATCCATTTCCAGCTGTATTCTGTTTAATAAAGGCTCCAAAAAGGAGACCATCGTCAATACACAATTCACAACCTACCAAACTAAATGAAAGCCACCAATAGAAATGTCCTGGAAACTTGATAAGCCTCCTGGTTTTGCTGACAAATTGGGGCTACATAAATAAGTAGATTATCAAACACCAGGCAGACAACATTCCATCAGTGGTACATTCAGGCAGATTAATCCTTAGTTACACAGGCTAGTCGTAGAATACACATGCAAACATTCTTTAGGCTCCAATCAAGGTATCCTCTTCAAATCATGTATTTCATATTGCTCACTGTTAATCACTATATTGTTTAATCAAGCCAAAAAACAGACATATCACATAATCCTTAACTGAAAAAGCAAAATCAACTGGAATCACATGCAAGGAAATGCCTCTTCATTCACTATCCAAATAATCCACCCACAACTTCAAAACAAAAGATTAGCTGAACTTTCCTGAAAGGCAAAATAACAGGCAACTTACTGATACAGGGTCATATGGAAAATGTTTATGGATAATTATAAATTCTTTTACCAAAACAAGCCCTACACTAGTCAATAGATTTTATCTTTAAAAGCAAAGTTAATGGATAGTTTCCCTCAGCCAACCAACATGAGAAATCATATGCCTGTTGGCTTAATATTAAAAAACAAACACACTAGGCACATGGAGGTACAAGCCTTGCTTAAGGAAATCAGCATGGAGTCTGCAAGTCTAAATCTTGTCTCACCAGCTTCTAAAGTTTTTTGAGAATGCAGGTGATTCTGCACAGATGCAGACAATCCTGTCAACATTGTGCACTTGGAATTTCAGAAAGTCTTTGCCAAAGTTCCTCATCAAAGGCTGTTCAGTAAACTTGGCACTCATGACATAAGATGACTTGTTCTTTTATGGATTTCTAACTGGCTAAAACAAAGGCAAGGGACAGGAAGAAATAGGCAGTTTTTTCAAAGGAGGGAATTAAGAAGCGGAGTTTCTCAAGGATCTGTGCTGAGTTCAGTGCTTTTTAGTTTGTAAATGATCTTGACTGATGGGAAAGCAATGCGCTAGTTTATAGATGATATTAAATTATTCAGGATAGTTACAACCAAAATGATCATCAGGAGCTCCAGAAGGATCTCTTTAGACTAGGTAAATGGTCAAACAGCAAACATGATTCAATTTATAGAAGTGCAGAATGGTGCACATTGGGACACAAACCTCCAAATTCATGTTCTGGGGTACTGAACTGTATCTAAAAACTAGGAAAAAGATCTTGATGTCATACTGGATAGCTCAACAAAGATGTTGATCAATTTGCAGCAACTATGAAAGGGCAGATTCCATGCTAGGGTTCATCAGGAAAGGAACTGAAAACAAAACTACCAACATTGTAATGCATATATACAGAACGATGGAACAGTTTTGAAAAACAATATAACGAAGTGGAAAAAATGCAGAGAGCAACTGAAATGATCAAGTAACTCAAATATCTTCCTTACTAGAAAAATCTAGAACGTCTGGAGCTCTAGCGTAGAGAAAAGACAGCTGAGGGCAGACATGGTTGAATTGTATAAAATCATACGTGGCATGGAGAGAAAATTTTTCTCCCTCTTTTAAAAAACAATAAGCAGGGGTCCAATGAAATTGAAAGGACGATATTTTGAATAGAAAAAAAGTACTTCTCACAGTGCATAATTAACCTGTGTTTATAACCACTCATCTGAATGGCTTTAAAAGTAGATTGGATAAATTCAAGGAGGACAGGTCTACTAAGAGCTATCAGCCTTGAAGATTCAATGGGACCACTGGCCTGAGCGGCAGCATGGTTCCAAATACTAGTTGCAGAAGAGAGAGATGTCTGTCTGCTGTTTGTTAGTAACTCAGAAGAATCTAGTTAGCTTCTGTGAGAAACAAAATGCTGGATGAAGATTATCTTTAGCCTATTCCAGCAGAGTTATTACTATGTTATTAAATTTTCATTTAAAATATCAAATATAAAAAAAACCCTGCAATAATTCCTATGAAACTATACCACATCTAAAGAGAGACTGTACTGTTTTATTATACCCTTATCTTGAGGTTGCTGTTATTCTTAAGGAAATGAAGTTATAGGTATAGTAACTATGGAGAAATATTCATTCAAAAAACCTTCTATTTAAGCTTAATTTCTTGCCAATCATATTTTGCATATAATTCAAAAGCTACACTGGCTTTTTCCAGAGACCATCCAATTTGCAGCACAATACAAAAATAACTGATGCATATTTGAAAATGAAAATCCATGCTAAGCAGTTATGCAAAAAGTAAATTTTACCTAAAAATAATTCAGCAAATCACATTTACATGTATTTAAAAGTATTCCTCCTTTATTCCTGCCCCAGTACGTTATTTTAAAACTAGATAGTTAGTTCTACTTAGTTAATGAAAATATTCAGATGAATAAAACCTTTAACTTTTACTTTAAAACAGTGTTTCTCAACTTTGGCAACTTTAAGATGTAACTTTAACTTGTAGATGTAACTTCAACTCCCAGAATTCCCCAGCCAGCTTTAAAAGGACAGCATCCCAAAGGATCCCAGAGATTTTTTGCACTGAATCCAGTTTTGGGTGCTGAGAATAAACTGCTGAATCCTCTGCCAACAAGAAACTAAATGCAAGAGGCATGCCCCATTAGTGCAAAGGTGCTATTCAGAGAGCACATGCTTGTTTATGAATAATATTTTATGCGATCTACTAGTAACTTTTAATGCCTCTAACTCAGAAAGGCAGCAGTCCAACCTTCCTTTTAATGTCATAAATTGTTGAAGTACAGCCCCTCCCCCCACTTGTTTATTTGAGATAGACAGCTATACATAACACAAACAGATATCTCTTCTTCTCTCCTTGCATTTTTTTGCCTGCTCAGGGCAATGAATTAGGGCCAAAAGAAATCACTTTGGCACTTGTGGGGAAAAGAGGTGGGGAATTGATAGGATAGTGCTATTGACAGTGTTGCTCCAGTTACATCTATCCTTGGCAGACAATTACTACTAAGAATCATGCAGAGGGAAGAAAAGAGGCTTGGAGAAGAGAAATCCAGAGAACTGTATACAGTATTCTACTGTATAAGAAACAATTCAGCAATATTTACTAGGCCTGGAGATTTTGATGGGAAGTCCCTGAATGAAACTTTATAGAGTTTCACTATTGCGTTTTCACAATCAGGTTTTCCAGGGTTACCAAGGCCCACTTAAGCTGTGCCTGTAGCAACAGTTCAATGGGACAGCACTAGTGCAGCCTTCCTCAACTTAGTGCCCTCGTTCAGAAAAACTGGACGACAGCTTCCACCATCGCTGTCATCCTGCAGACAGCTAATGGAAACTGCAGTGCAATAAAACGGGAAGGCACTAGGTCGGGGAAAGCTGTATTAGCAGGTGACTATTTCCACGCAGCGGCAAGTTTCCCTTGCGACGGAGGTTCTGCAAATCACGCCAGAAAGCCTTTTTTCCTCTGGCCAAACGGGCAGCTTGGATCTCGACCCCTTTCACCCTAAGCATCTCCGGGCGCCTTGTATTTTGCTTTTGGTCCCGTCGCCCTCGAGAGCCGGCCGGGGCTTCGGACAACATCCTTCCCCAGGCAGCCCCGACTCGCTACGCCTCCTACTGCCGCTCCCCGGCCTAAGCCCCTGCAGACACCCCACAACGCCGCGGCAGAGCAGCCGGGCTTCCACTCCCGGGACTCTCCAGCAGAGAGAAAACGGCGCTTTGCGATGCCAAGGCCGGCCTTGCCCTGCCTCACCCCCCGCGCACCTCACAGCACGGCAGCCCTCACCTCCTCCGGGATGGCAGAGTCGCCTCCGGCGCTGCCGCTGCCCCCGGCGTAGGAGGCCCCGGACGGAGGCGGCTCGGGTTCCATGTCCCCGTTGAAAAGCGATGCCCCCTCAGCGCTGCCGCTGCTGCTCAGCGCCGCCATCTTGGATCGAAGCGCTGAGGGAGAGGAGGAGGAGGAGGAGGGGGCCAGGAGGGGGGACGGGGAGGAGGAGGGAGAAGGGGAGGGCGAGCCGTGTCGCTCCTGACGACCTGGCCGCCCCCAAACGCGACCCGTAGCGGAAGAAAGGGTGGTGGGACGAAGGGGAGAAGGACAGGGCAGAAGAAGCTCTCCAAGCCACAGTCCTCCAGGCAGGGAGGCAGCGGCGCGACGTCACGCCCTGAGCGTGACGTCACCCATAATCGCCGCGGCGCCGGTGCGCATGTCCAGCATAACGTCACCGGGAAACACCCTGACATCACGACGCGCCCCCTCCTTTTACGTCATCTAGAGAACCCGGCGGGCGCGGAACGGCTTCGCCACGCCCCCTCTCCGTCTGGGCAGTTTGCTGGGGTAGGTGGTCTTTTTGTCCCTGCTGCTCTGATCGGCTGAGTTATACTGGTGCGTTTAAGTGCAAGCTGATGTGGAGCTGCCGGGTCTGGCCTGTAGAAATCAGGGCGACCCCTGGATGGCCGCAAAGAGTTTGAGGTTCCGCGTATCTCTTTGCTGCCATCTAGTGATCGTCCGGATCTTTGCAGCCCGGATCTAGTGTTCCTAGATAACTGCTTAGTAAGGAAGCGCTGCTTTACTAACACTTAAGAAGTAAAGCTAAGAAATTGAGCACTCTCCCAAATGTAAAATAGAAATAAGCATTGTTCTGAAACATGGCAATCAAACCTCCCACGCTCCGAAATGAGAATAATATTAGCGAAAAAACTGAACTTTCATATGGATTGCCTCATCCACCTCCTAGCTAGTCTCCAAGATCATAGAATCATAGGGTTGGAAGGGACCTTGGAGGTCCTCTAGTCCAACCCCCTGCCCAAGGCAAGAGCCCTCATACCATCTCTGACAAATGGTTGTCCAATCTTTTCTTGAATACCTCCAGCGATGGAGCACCCACAACCCCGGGAGGCAAGTTGTCCAACTGCTTAATAGTTCTCACTGTCAGGAAATTCCTCCTTATTTCCAGGTTGGATCTTCTGATAAGCTTCCACTAATTGCTTCTTGTCCTACCCTCAGGTGTGATGGTGAATAAATGGACGCCCTCTTCCCTGTGGCAGCCCTTCAAGTATTGGAAGATCTAAAGAACTGATCTTCAGCTATGTGGAAACATAACTGTTATTTATTTAGATTGGCTTCTAACATTTGTGTCCTATTCTTATGGAGATTACAGTAATATTTTACATTTAAAACAACATTACAGTAAGACGTGTGAAAATAGTTTGGTCACCTAGTTCATGCACGTCTCATGTTATTTCTCTAGACCTGATGATTCTACACATGACTATAAACTATTTCTTAGATGAATTGTTTGTTTGAAGAATACTGTGTTTGCGGTGACACTTTGAATACATTGCTACGAAAGAATGTATGTTATTAGTATCTGGCTGGGCTTATAGGCTGCTCCAGTTGCAAATGTCCCTGAGTGGCATACATACCAACTGCTATAAATTGGGTAAAACAATACAATAAAAGCCAAGCATAAGAATAATATCCAAATGGCATTTATATAGAACCTAGAACAGTCATCAAATTAACCAGCCATTAGGTAAAAAAACCCAAAACCCATCCAACCTCTTCCCTTGCCAAAGAAAACACTCACAATATTCCCCAAGACCTGATGGAATAACCATTGAGAGCATTGAACCCCTGTGGTACTCCACAACTGAGATCCCTAAGGTTCTGTCTTTTCACCTCCACCACCACCTCAAGCACCAGCCTTCCCCCAACCCCCTTGCTCTTGCATTTCCTTCCTTCTATTCTTGCCTAGCAAAGATCCCTTGATTACTTGCTGCCTTCCCACTCATTGCCTGGCAGATAGGAGGGTGGAGCAGGTGGAGATATGTGGAGGCTTATAGAGGATCTATTGCCCAGGGAAAACACCACTAGACAAGGATTGGTGGAATAAAAATTCAAGCTAATAATAGTTGATCCGCCCTCCCTCTTGAGAAAATATAAAATCCAGTTGATAATTGGTCTGTTTTGAGGTGGCTGTATTCTTGGACTTAACGGTATTGATATTAGGGAAGCTAGATTGTGTTCTAGTTCTAATTGTGTTCTAAAATTAGAATCTTGCTTAGAAGATGGTTTGGCTTTGCCTATTGAAAGGAATGTTCCCTTAAAATACATCAGCAGTAAGGTATATACAAAATCACCGGTAAGAAAAAGGGTACTATATTCTGTATGGATGTCCAAGGATGCCATGTAGTAGATCTGGGTCTGGATCAGATTCTTGTGCACAGAACTGTTACGCACAAAATTAAGACACACTTCGGTTTAACTGACCTTAAACCTTACACAGGCCAGTGTAGTGATTCGGCACTGCAGGGTAATTACAATAGGATATTGAACAACCCCATCACGAGACCAACACCAACATTTAGCACAATTTAATGTTAAAGAGGTTACTTTTTGATACTCACACACGATCACTCATTCCTTCAGAGCTTTGACAATGCATTCATTGACATAAAAGTCTTTCTTGGTGTTGGCCATCTTAGCTTTTTCTCTTGTGTAGCTGCTCTTTATATCTTATCATTTTTAGCAAATTCATCAGTTTGTAGACAACAAATCATCCTCTTAGAGATCTCAGTGTTCCTGTTACCACCTTCTCACCCACTCAGAGTCTTATTAGTTCCAATTTTCAACTTCTTAGCTGACATCCTATCACCATGCAATTCCTTTATTCATAACTTTTTTTACTGTACTCCTGACCCTTCTTCTGCTTCCTGCAAAATTTCACACTTCTCCATTCATTCTCTGAAATGCTTAAATTGTAATTAAGAAATTAAATCAAATAGCTATACAAGCACTACAGTAATATGTATTACATGGGTTGATTTACCACAAGCTATGGGTTCAAAACAATCCTCCTCTGTCATCAGACTCACAGAAGAGAGTCTATGTGAGCTCCTTGGAGAAAAGATTGGCTACAAATACTATGGATAAAAAGAGTAAAGACAGAGCCAGACAAATTAGTTATTAATAGGATTTGTATGTAAGGAATTAATAATAGAACAGATCCAATGTAGTCCAAATTTGGAAGTATTCCCAATCAGCTAAAATATAAATGCAGTCAAGCAGAAATGCTAAATTCTAGCCTGATGATTTATTATTGAATGTATACATTGTTATTGTTGTCAGTGTATAGCATGCATCTCCTAGTTGGTGTTTTGAAAAGTAGTCTCAAGATGAGAGATCCTAGCTTGCAGAGAATAGCACTGAGCATACTTGGAGTAAAACTGGGCTTTGGTTGTTCTTACGGCATACTAACCAAATATGTCAAAACGGACTGGTGCTTTCTTTACTATTAGCGGGGAATGCTGCATGTGGAATGGGTATGTTAGAGAATGCTACCTTCTCTATCTTGATAACAAGCATTACATGAAAGTCTGAACTGACCAAAGTCAAGATGGGCAGTGGCAGTCAGTATTTGTGGGCCCATCTGATGATTATCATGGCATATGGCAAGTTATGATTTGGAATATAAGAAGGAGAAATGGCAAACAGCATGACTTAATTAATAAAATGAATGAAAGCATATACAGTGGTACCTCGGGTCACGAACGCTTCTGTTCACGACCAATTCGGGTCACGAACAGCACCATTCGCAAAATTTTGCTTCCGTTCGCGAACGCCAGATCGAGTGACGAACAGGATCCGCGGCCATTTTCCCTGCCATGACATGTGGTCGTGGCTTCCTGTAAGGAGGGGGACTCTCCCTCCAAGCAATAACTGCCTCTGCACCCGCCTTCCTGTCCTCCACCCCAGAAGTTGCGTCAAGCAAGGTTAGCGTTCTCTCTCTTCGACTGTACTTTGTGTCATATTTTTGTGGTTTTAAAAAAAAAATAACATATGGTTCAGAACAGATTAACCGTAA